ATTTATTATAAACACATTCAGGAGTGATCCTTTGTCAATTGGAGTTTTATACATGCATTGCATCAACATCGTTTAAGGTTCACCCCTTGTTCATATATGTTTCTAGTCTTATGTGGTTGTTCACTCTTGTTCATATCGTGTTCACCCCTTATTCATATCGTATAAAATATATGAACACATAACCCCGCCGCTATGAACACCAGGTGCAAACACTTAAACAAATATAAAGATTTGGTATCAAGTTTAAAAAATAACACTTATGTTCATATGATAGAAGTAACATGAACACAATGGTCCATGATTCATAAAAGTAGGTAACATGACAATATGAAAATGGGTCGTGCATGTACTTCCATTTCAACATGTGAATTAGATACGTATTAATAATTAAAGAAAAAAGTTATCAACATAATATGAACTACAAAAAACACAACATATCATAATGAACATAATTTCGATTTAAATGAGTCTAGTAAAATATTAATCCATTACCAAGACATTTGATTTGGTTAATTTTTTCACTTCCCGAACTCGAACTCCGATTGTCACCATAAACCATTTCAATCTTCTCTATGTTGTCGATTTTTTTTCCCAATGCGTTTATCCATAATAGCTTGAACGATACCGAATATTTTACTACCGTATTTCCTCCACGAATCAAAAATTCATAAAACAATAAAAATGGAAGATCAAGATTAAAAAATAAATAAAAATATCAATATTATAAATATATATTTTTAGGGATTTTATGATTTTGTAACTCCCTTTTAATGGTATGAGAGTTACATAGCAAATGAAATTACTCAATTACCCTTTGTATTAAATTGTGAACATGAAATAAACCTAATARAAGAATGGATTATGATTGGTTGACATGGTTTGCAAAGTTAACACAAAAACTTTGGTTAATATTTGATCTTGTCCCTCTATATATATATATATAGATAGATACTAGAAGGGTACTCATGCAATACAGCGAAATACATCTCGATTTAATGTTCTATTTTATTCTTTGTCTATATCGATCTGATTCAGGTGCAGCTTTTTGGAGGGTTTAATGGTTAAGACGCTGACTTTTTGACTAATGGAAGACGCTGTAGAAGATGACTTTTTGATTTAAAATATGTTGCTAAGACTTTGGTTAGACTTTTGTACTTTTTAGTTACTCTTTTGTTGCCATATAACTAACTTTTGGAAGCTTAGCCCCCAAGTCTTTTATTTTTGTCTTTTAGTAATCCCTTTTGTGTATAAATGGAAGGCTTGGGGTGCCTTCATCTATCATCCATTAATCCATCTTTTATCCATTGTATCCCATTTCCTCCATCAAAAACATTAGCTAGTATTGTAAACCCTCTCCAAGGGTGGTTTTTATTAATCTTTTGAGTTATTCATCTTTTCTTCTTTAATATTCTCGTCTTTTATTTTACGTTCTTTATTTTACGTTCCTTTACGATTATTGTCATTTACATTCCGTTATTTATTTTCTCGCAATTTACATTCTCGCAATTTACATTCTCGCAATTTACATTCCCGTCATTTATTTTCTCGTCATTTACATTTCCGTCATTTATTTTMTCGTTATTTACTTTACGCAATTTACGTTTATGTCTTTATTTTCCGTCATTTATTTTTTACTTTCCATTTTGAGTAGCTAAGCTTTTATAGCTTGGGTGTAAGACGAAAATGTGAGATTTTCAAACCAAACGAAAGTAGCTAAGTGTTTTCGTAAACGACGTTCCATTGTTTCATTCAAGTTTTTATAAAACCAAGCACACTTGTTGACGGGTTGATCACTTTGAAAGTGTTAAAGTGTCATGGACTTATAGATAAGCCATTGAATGCACGTCAACATGGATGACATAAGAGGTAGACTTGAGAAAGTTGCCGACAAGGAGACTTGTCATTTATGTTTTTCAATCTTAACTCCCGACGGGTTGGTCACTTTTCGAAAGTGTCAAAGTGTGATAGATTCAGAGATGAACTATCAAGAACACGCCAACTCGAATGATATGGGAATTGACTCGAGTGAATGATTTTTAACAAAGAGATTTGTTTATCCATATATTTTGAAAA